TGACATACAGAAGAGTCAAAGATCAAAATAACCATCATTAAAATATCAAATTTCTCATAACAGGAGAAATCAACATATTGGCTTGATATTCTCTGCTGGTTACTTTCAGGACTAAAGAATATTCTTGCCACTATTCTAAAATGTGTACAGTGCAATTAAGTTTCATGACAATAACTGAAGTGCTAAGCAAGGAAAATCAATAAAGTTAAATAGTCACAGTACACAGAAGTCTTTAAGTAGCCTTTTCATCAAGGCACCTATTTTTGGAAAACCGCCATGTTCATTAGAGGGTTGATTCTTCCCACTCTCGTTTACTTTTTTACAAATTACTTACTCATTAATCTGCATCCTATATTTATTATTAAGTAGTTAAATGAAAGAGGGCAAGAAAGAGAGAATGACACAATGGAGATATACTGTGTGGGATAAGAAATATTTTTAAAAGTCAGCCTATCTGAATTTGAAAAAGTTGTTTCTGCCAAGTAAGTAAATTTTACAACTTACACAAATCGATTTCCTAACAATTGCTCAGTGGTAAAATGTAAGCACACAGGTAAAATAAAATTTAACTCTGGTATCAGTGAAATATTTGGTTCTCATTAATTACATTTTAGTCAGACTCAGCAATGTACAAGAATACTGCATTAAAGTTTTTTAAATTAATGAATTGTGTTTTAAAGATCATTACTAGATCTATAACCATTATACTCTCCTTTTTGGAGATTTCAGTCAAGAGAGGTTAGTTATTAGGCAAATAAAACCTGGACACAGAAAAAAAGTGAATGAACTGATTAGCAAGTATACTTTTAATTAACCTAGGGATGATAAATAAAGAGGAAAGACTAGAAGCATAAACTTTTGGAGTGGAAAGTTTCACTTCAGAGATAATCTAATTCAATGTTCTACAATCTGTGGGTTCCTAGAGTTTCTGCAAGAGTCTGCAATTCCATATGCACATTTACATTTTCTCCATCAATGAAATAAATGGTATTAATACTTAACTCCACAGTTCTGCACCTCTGCCAAATTTTAAAATCACAAGTTCTTTCACTTGAACAGACTGAGAACTCTTGATCTAGTCCAATATGCTGTGAAGTAGTAGCAGAGCAATTACCCAAGTGCACTTATGTGTACATACAGTGCCCCTCCTGCATATCTAGAATTTTCCTAAGTGTTCAAGCGAGATCCCTCCTAGCTAAAATTTTAGTCTTGGGAATCAGTAATCTTTTCCTTTTTGTGTATTCGATATGCCTTACTGACAAACATCATGCCTAAGTAGTTACAAAAGTTGCAACTAAAGAATACAGGTGAGTCAAAAGAAAATTTGAGCTACAGTATTTGCCACTTTTGTTTTACATTTTTGTGAAGACTCCCCTTTCTAAGCGTCTATTGTAATTATAGTTCAGCCCCAGAAATGTGAGCATTTACAGTTCTCCAGTTATCTCATGTGTAGTGTGTCTCTCCAACTGGGTAAAACAGGCAGGAACTACATCTTAGATTTCAAGATGTTTCCAACTTTGATTAAGAACTCAATAAATTACTGGCTTACACAGTCAAGGAAGAAGAATTTTACAGAATATTTTAAAAGATATACATAAAAAGATTTAATAATCTGGTATAGGTGTGATGCAGAAAAGATAATTATGTCTTTTCTGAAAAGTTTGAAAGAGATAAAATCCTTTTTTACCTTTCTGTTTATTCTAAGCAAATAATGCCACATAATTATTTTCCTTTCACATTTTCATTAGTCCCTCAAAATAATGGTGTAAATGGGAATTTATAGGCATAGCAGAAATCCCACCAGCTTTAAGGAAACATAACCAAATGATACTTTACAGAGCCAAACAAAAGGAAGATAACTTTCGGGGCGAATGGCCCTGTTGGAGGAGACAGCAGCATGGGAGTAAAAGAGCATGGACTCTGGATACCAATTTTGATTTTGCCACTTACTGGCTGTGACATCCCCAACAAGTTCTCTGAACTTCAATTTTATTTCTTATACATAAAATGGGGGGGAATGTGCATTTTATGGCGTTCTTATAAAGATTAAGAGAAAACGTGTATAAGGTACCTACTACATGCTAATTACTCAAAATTAGTTGCATGTCTTTCCTCATTTGGCTCTTCTTTCTCTTCTCTGGTTTCTTCCTAAATCAATTTCAAAAGAGGTTTCCTGTCACTCCCCCAACACCGCCACCCCACTAGTTTTCATTTTATCTCCCTGTATTTGTCGAATTTACTCTCAAGATCTACCTTGTTCTTTTTCTCTGCACCTTTTATCTCTTTCAAGCTGTTTCCAATACCTACAAGGAATTACTATTTTAAGCTAATTTTTAATTATCTTACTAACCTCATTTAATCTATTCAATAAAACTTTTCCAAAAAGCAAAGGAATTTACAGAGAAAATAAGACAAATTAGAGGAAGTGGATTAAGTTCTTGAGTAAAGCAACATTCCTTATTCACTCTTCCCATGTACAATCTATAATTCCTCCATCCTATTGGCCTTTATTTCAAGCCCAGGATAATTACATTCCTGTCTCAAAATAAAATAAAATCCTTTAGATTGTATATTCTAAACACCAGCTGTCTCTAAGTTGAGTCAGTATCTCATGCCCCATCTCTTTAATATGCTTACTTAAATCCTTTATATATATATATACTTGGTCATTTCACAGTTGAAAAAGTCACTTTGGTTTCTCATGCATGGATATGCTAGGGCTGAGCTTATCAAAAAGAACTACATCCTATCATTAATGGACATGTTGTCTCAGGTTCCCTAGATATGTTTTATAAAGAGAAGCTAATAGGTAAAAGAATAAAATAAAGTCCTACAGGGAAAGCTCTTGACTTCACATTTTTGACAGATTTGGGCTTTAGCTGTGACTTTGCTGAGTGGAGACAGGTGCCATGGCACCCAAACTGGGCGTACCCTCACTTCTTACCCTGTACCTCCCTGAATTTTTAGATTCTTGACCTTGCCTACTACCAACAGTCTTTTTACCCTCTAATGCATCTTCGATGGTATACAGCTCTATTCCTTAGATAGTAAGTCTATTATCCAAATTCAGATACAATTAAGGAATTAACATGAAAACCATGATTCCTCAATAATTCAGAAGCTGCTAGTTAGCCTCAAGAGCCTATGAAAAAACATCAAAGTGGTATTACTCAGTCACCAATCTAAAGAGAGAACTTTGACTCAAGATATAAATGAAATTGTAATTATATAAATATATTTATAAATATTTATACAATTATATACTTATACATAAGCACTTACACACACTTAGAAAAAATGTAAGAACATTAATCCAAAAGGACTCACTGAAGAATAAACAGAATTTTCCATGATTATTTTTGAGGAGAAACATTATTCGTTCTTTAGGGTAGGTCCCTCAAAATTCAACCATTAGAAATCATATTCTCTAATTAAGTACTAGCAACACATAAACATGTTTTTTTAAAATCCCCTAGTTACCAAGTGAATGATCTTAAAATAGATGGGAACTTAAAGGTCTCTGAGCAATAGCAATTTATGTTCCTCAAGTAGAAGGATCAATCAATATTAATCCCCATTTTATATTATGGTTTTATAGCAAGTTAAAGTTCTGATTTTGCCACCAGAATCACCACTACCTCATCAGAAGACTAAAGCTCAAAATAAGAACTAAGCATATAATGAAGCTGGTAAGTTGAGTAGTGTTATGGAGATTCAAGATGGCTAGTCTAAACAAAACTGAGAAAAGCTTTCACCAACTACAATTTAAATGTGGCTTTTGTAGGCAGAAAAACCTCCACAACATTTGAAGACTACTGGCAATCTTCCCTACCTCCCTTACTAAATGTTGTCTTATGGATTTAATTTAAAGATTTTCCCCTTAGGCTTTCAATTTTGAGACCTTTAGCAAGAAAAAGCATGAGGATTAAAGCTCATTTAGTCACCAGAGCCTTTTAGAGACTGTTCAACCAGGGGTAATAAATGAATCACTAATTCTAACCAAAGGAACATGGTTAGCTAGTCTCAGCTGCATCTTTTTCTTTTCCCCCCAGGATATACATAAGTATGCCTAAAGCACATAGGACAATCAATAACCATAGTAGTTAAACTACAAGCCACTGTACTGCATGATTATTGAATAGCTGCCTTCCTATAGATCACCTGTGGACCCAAACACTGGAAGGGCCAAAGGAATTAATATGCCTTACTGGCAAAAACAGCAAGCACCTTCTTATCCCAGTCACTATAATATGCTCACTAAAGGTCCACTCTGGGACTAGCAGGATCAATATAGTTTACAGAGTAGTAACTAAGAAAGTTGTCTCAGGCTAGGTTATTGAATGCCAACCCATGCTACTCGCCCAACATTTAACACTCATTTTGCCAATAACACATTTCATGGAAATAATTCCAGCTTGGGAGGATGGGAATCCTTCAAAATGATTTTTAAATGAGATGAATAATAATTATAAGAGATACTTTTTCGATGTAAATAAAAGCCTAGATATTCTGTTGTAATATTTCTTACATGAACAACAAAACATGTTAGAGAATTTTTTTTCCCCTACTAAAAACAGGGCTTACAAAAAAGGGAGGTTATTCTTATTCTGAATCTAGCCATTCCTTTACCAAAGGAGTCTGAGGAGTAGTAACATCATTTGATCCCGAAAAAGTGCCATGCAAGAGACCACTTATTGGAACACACATTTCCTGCTGCCAGTACTAGGAGGTGTTATCCTTATACTTCCATTTGGTCACCTGATTAGGTAAGAAAGAAAAAAAAGTAGGAAAAAGATGAAAATAGGAGAAGAGGGGGGGGGGAAGAGGGTAGGAAGTGAAAAAGATTTATAGGAGAGAGCAAGGAATAAAAGAGAAGGCAGGTGACTTGCTTGCCCAACTTTGGCTCTATGGTCCTATGAACCAAAATGCATACTCAGTGACATGGTATCTCATAGGAAAAGGGAAAAAAGGGATAAGCTGAGAGAGGTCAGGCCATGATGTTAATTTCTTTCCTGTACAAAGACAGTCTCTTGAGGACAAAGGCCTGCCTCTTGTAATGTTATGTCATAGTCCAGATGAGAGAGTTTTCTTCGAGGGAAGTTGGTGAGAAGTTCAAAACGTTCATTTGGATATCCTTTAGACTGGACATGCTTCACCAAAGCCTATGAAAAACAAAAGAAAGACAAGACTATTAGATGGAAATAGAAAAAGCATATTAAAGAATTACATATATAGTAATTAAAAAAATAATTTTTATATATGTTTTCATTGGTTTTAGAGAGAGAGGGAGACAGAGATAGAAATATTGATGAGAGAAACATCAGTTGGCTGCCTTCTACAGGTTCCCGACCTGGGATCAAACAAGCCCAAAACATAGGCACCTGCCCTGACCAGGAATCAAAATGGCAACCTCTTCGCAGTGGTTAACACTCAACCACTGAGCCAAACCAGCCAAGCAATATAACATTCTTTTTAAAAAATATGTTTTATTGATTTGAGAGAGAGGGAGAGGAGAGAAACAGAAACATCGATGAGAGGGAAACATCAACATTGATTGGCTACCTCCTGCATGTCCCCTGTTGGGGATTGAGCCTGCAACCCAGGCATGTGCTCTGACTGGGAATCCAACCCTGTCCTCCTGGTTCATGAGTTGATGCTCAACCACTGAACCACATTGGCCAGGCTAACATTCAGTATTGTCACATTAGATAAAATATGAATTTTAAGGGCCAATATAACACTTTGGATGAGGAGATAATAAACGTACATTAAGTGATGTACTGAACTATACAGGGTTATTACTATTTCCTCAATAACAAACTCACTATAAAATTACTGTCCTTGGTTTTAAACATTTGATTATTTTCCCTTCCATTTTTTTAACGGCAAAGATATGTCTTTCATTCTACCTATAGCCAATCTTGTCACCTGTGTACTAAATCTCTTCTTGCCTTCTCAGAAACCATGCCTCTACCGAGCATCCCTGCTTTTATAGGTATTGTCTACATCTCCCTCTTTACAGATGCTTCCCATCAGACTCTAAACATGCAGTCTCTCCTTCAATCATTGCCCTCACTGTGATTACTGCATACCCCTCTCTAGCTTCACAACCAAACTTCTCAAAAAAGTGCTACATCTACTGTCTCATCTCACATTCCCTTCCAAATATGAGACCTGGGAAACAGTCTGGGTATCAGCACCAGCAGCCAGATCCGACTGGCATTCCAGTCACACAGTCTTCGAGATCACACACACTCTCCTGCCACAGAAAACTGAAGGTAAAAATACCCGACCCAAAGGGGATTCATTCACAGGTATCCGATAAAAAGATGGAAGGGACTAAAAAAGCTAATCAGACTTTCTCTTTTCCAAGAGTTAAAAACGACATAGGAAAGGTCCATCAGCTATGAACTTTAGAGGAAAAGCTCCTCAGCAAAAGATTTAGTACACAGGTGACAAGATTGGCTATAGGTAGAATGAAAGACATATCTTTGCCGATTTCCTGGACCATGTACGCACTCAGAGGTAAACAAAAGCCACCAGTATAGAGAGAGAAGAATGGTATGAAGCAGAGAATTACAGTGGAGACACCGAACAGGCCCCAGCACAGAAACACAAAAAAAGATTGCCCTGGTTCTTAACTATTTTGTATGTCTAGCTATAAGAAAGCCAGAAGCCCCAGGAGTCTTCACTCCTCTTTTCTGGGAATAATTTCCAGTTGGAAAATGAAATGCAGGAATAGAACAGCCTTGTCTGGAACAGACCCTATGTGACTTTTCTAAGATAACTCAGGAAGGAAATATACTAATTAGAATTCAGAGTAACCTGTTAAATTTCCTTAGAGGTCAGACTGAATACTAACACTTATTTCAAAGAACAAGCCAATTATACCAATTAATTAGTTTCTCTCCTTTAAGCCAGTGCTTAAATTAGATATACTTACTAGCAATTTAGCTTGCTCTGGAAGAGTGATTTGTTCCCTTTTTCCATCTGGATACCGCAACATCAGCTGTGCTTTTGGTCCTGGGGTTAAAATATATATAAATGTATATATACACAGGAGTTTAAGATGGAAGACTAATTTAAACAAATTTAGTAATATTCAAGTTTCAAGTAAAGTAAGTCTAGAACACAGCTCACCATTTACATCTATGCCCTCCACTATTCCATCTGATTTCTCAGGTGACATCTCTAATATTTCTGAATCCATGACTGACAATCCTTGGTGGTTTGTGGTTGCTCCAGGCTCAGTTCTGGGTGGGGGCTCAGTTAGCAGCCTTCTGTTTTCCTCTTTTCTATGCCCCAAATCTTTATGGGGAGACTTTCTGGACTTGGCAAGATTCTCTATATCATCTTCTTCATCAGAGCCACAAACGGATATAAATTCCTCACTGCCAGAAAAAAGTTCAGATTCAGATTCTTCATCCGAGCGGCTATCCTGTTTTGTCTGTGATGAATCAAAATGTGTTTCTTGCAAGGAGGCTCTGATGGCAGCTTCTAGCTGGCTGTCTTCACTTGCATCTATAAGGCTCTCCTGCAAGATGCAGTCATAAAACACGGGTGCAAAAGAAAGAAAACAGTTAAACCAAAAAATAGTCAAGCCAGACAAGGCACAAGAAATATGATAGTTTGCCATTATTATTTTCTACTAAATATATCTCTTCTACTAAATTTTCACCTAGTTGAAGGCAATACTTTGTCCTACACAGCCAAGTTGGGATGAATAGTTTAAAAATAAAAATAAAAACTGTCATACCACCTAGTATAATATAATGATGCTGCAAGCATAGGGAAGTTTTCTACATCAAAATGAATAAAATTAAGAAAACAGAATACTGACTGCTCCAAAAAAGGCAAGAATTAAGGTTTTTATATATAAAGCAAAAATATTAGTCTTTTAAATGATTATATAAAGAAGCATGTCTACCTTGCTCATCATTATATTCTTCAATTAGCATTGTTTTGCCACATAGAATATCAATAAATAGCTCAGTAATTGTCGTTTTGCAAAAAACAAAACAAAAAAAACTTACAGATCACTAACATTCAAAACAAAATACCATACAATAAATTGGGAAAAACAACTATATTTTCCCAAGCTTAATTACAATAAGATTTTTTTTCCTTTTTTTAAAAAAAAATATATTTTTATTGATTTTTTACAGAGAGGAAGAGAGAGGGATAGAGAGCTAGAAACATCGATGAGAGAGAAACATCAACCAGCTACCTCTTGAACACCCCCTACCGGGGATGTGCCCGCAACCAATGTACATGCCCTTGACCGGAATCGAACCTGGGACCTTTCAGTCCGAAGACCGACGCTCTACCGCTGAGCCAAACCGGTTTCGGCACAATAAGATTTTCATTGTGATGATGAGAAATACAAACTTACTAGTTTTCCTTTTGATAAAATTATAATGCCACAGATTTCACTAAACTTATTCAGTCACAAAATTTGGGTTGTTTGCCAAAGGAATTTTGACAAAGAAGAAATAAACTTATGGTGTCATACTCCCTGATTTCAAACTGTTTTCCAAAGATATAGTATTTAAACAGTATGACGCTGGCATAAAAACAGACACACAGAACAAGGGAACTGCACAGAGAGCCTAGAAATAAACCCATGCTCATATAGTCAATTAATCTACAACAAAGGAGACAAGAATATACAAGGGGGAAAAGACAGGCCCTTCAATAAACGATACTGGGAATATTGGATATCCATATGCAAGAAAATGAAACCAGACCACTTTCTTATACTATATATAAGAATAAATTCAAAATGGATGAAAAACTTAAATATGAGACCTGATATATCTGATAAGGGGTTAATATCCAAAATATATAAGTAACTCATACAACTCAACATCAAAAACACAAATAATCCAATAAAAAATGAGCAGAGGACCTGAACAGACAGACATCTCTCTAAAGAAGACATACAGATGGCCAACAGACTAAATCATTAGGGAAATGTAAATCAAACCACAAAGATTATTACAACTGTAAGAATGCTATTATAAAAAAGACAATAATAAAGAACAAGTGTTGGCGAGGATGTAGAGAAAACTCTCTCCTGCATTGTTGGTAGGATTATAAACTAGTGCAACTAATACAAAACAGTCTGGTGATTTCTCAAAAAAATTAAAAATAGAACTACCATGTGACCCAGCAATTCCACTTGTGGGTGTTCATCCAACAAAAATAGAAAACACTATTTAGAAAAGATCTATGCAACATATACAATGATAGCCAAACCCCACCAACTTCAGCATCGTTCACAATACCAAGATATGGAAGCAACCTGGTATCCATCAATAGAATGAATGGATGAAAATAATGTGGTACATACACACAATGGAATATTACTCGGCAATAGAAAATAGTAAAATCTTGTCATTTGTGATGAGCTTAGACAGTATTATGCTAAATGAAATAAGTCAAAGACAAATAGCATATGATTTCACTTTAATGTGGAATCTAAAACACAAATAAAAGCAAGCAAAACAAACTCATAAATACAGAGAACAAACTGATGTTTGCTAAAGGGGAATTGGGTGAGAGGATGAGTAAAAAGAGAGAAGATTAAAAAGTACAAATTTCCAGTTTTAAACTAAGTCATAGCTATGTAATATACAGCATAGAGCATATAGTCAATAATAATATAATGACTGTGTATGGTAACAGTTAGTAGACTTATTGTGGTGATCATTTCATAAGGTATATAAATGTTTAATCAGTATGTTGTATACCTGAAACTAACAATGTATGTGAACTATAACTTAAAATTTTTTAAAATATATTTTAAAAATTTAAATAATAAAACAAAAATTAATCAAACAAACAAAAAAGCATTATTTGGGTAGAAATTATTTAGATTCTAACTCAAACAAAGCTAAAAAATATAAAATCTGTAAGATAACTGAAAGTTAATACTGGATATCTCATGATGTCAAAATTAATTGATTTTTAAAGTGTGTGTTAATGGTATTGTGATTTTTAAAAATATATTTTTATTTATTTCAGAGAGGAAGGGAGAGAGTGATAGAAACATCAATAATGAGAGAGAATCATTGATCGGCTGCCTATTGTATACCCCCTACTGGGGATCGAGCCCACAACCTGGGCATGTGCCTTGACTGGAATCCTTCAGTCCACAGGCTGATGCTCTATCCACTGAATCAAATCGGCCAGTGCTTGTGATTGTTTTTTAAAAAGAGCCTTTGTCTATAAAGAATAAGCTGACCACTGTCAGAGGGGAGGAGACTGAGTCATGGAACTGGATGAAAACTGTGAAGGAATTAAGAAAAACAAAAAACAACACACCTAAAAATCTCATAGACACCAACAACAGTATGGTGATTACCAGAGGGAAAGGGAGGTGGGGGAAGGTAGAAGAAGGTATAGGAAGGATAAAGGGTGATGGAAGGAGACTTGACTTTGAGTGGTAAACACACAGTATTAATAGAATTGTATTCCTGAAACCTAACTTTATTAACCAATATCACCCCAATAAATTCAATAAATTAAAAATATATAAAATCTCTGCCCTAACTGGTTTGGCTCAGTGGAATAGAGCGTCAGCCTGCGGACTCAAGGATCCCTAATAATGTGCATAAAAGAAAACCTATCAAGCTAACAATGTCCATTTACCAGTTCCTCTTATAGCTAGAAAAAACTTGTGGTATGGAGCTAAAGCATTTACAGAGAAAGCATATAACTGCCTATATTATAAAAAAAGTGATCTCAATTAATTCCTTGTTTCCATATTAAAATTTTAAAAAGTACCCACATAGAATAAGATAAAATTAAACTCTACACATATAGCCAGTAATAATGACCACCTATACCATGAGAGTTTTCTAGCAAAAATACCTTTTTTTTTTTTAACTGCTGCTTAGTCCTGGCAATGCTGCCCTTGAAAGAAGTGGATTCCTCCCTCTATCACTGGGGCTTGCTAAATCAGTTCCCCTCCTCACTGCTACATATTCACATTTCTTACTTCTAAACCCAGGTCTTAGATCACATAACTGCAAGGGAGACTAAAAATATGAATCATATGATTTCACTGAAAAGACAGAATCCAAATGTGGGAAATTATCAAAATATAAGAAGGGCATCCAAGATGTTGTACAGCCACAAATTATAACTGTCCAATACTTACATTAATATCTTTAAGATCTTAACCTCAAACATTTTACACAAGACATCTATATACAATTACATTTAATTGCTCATCATCACTTCTTAGTCATACTTACTGAACGGGCACATTTTTTGGGGGGACTGTTAGAAAGTCCATCCAGTTGCCCATGTTCACCAAGAAATCCTGTCACTTGGTCCAAGAAAGAAGATACGTCTAACTGGTGCCATTCTACTAGCTTCTGACCTAAAAATAAAAACCGGGATATATAAATATAATAAAATCAACATATCAACATTCTCATTAAGTGTTTTTTTTTTTTGACATTTGCATAATTAAAATTTTAAGAACGCATATTCCCACTGTTAGGACTCAGGGCAATATAGTCCTTAATGGCCACAGGAGAACAAAGAACAAGAACTTGTCCAAGCTCCCCACCACAGGAGTCAAAAATCAGGAAAATTTGCTGGACACCAGGAATCAGACTATATAAGGAATTAAAACTGTCCTAAAAATGTCTCATCGCAATCCACATTCCAAGCCCATCAACTCAGCCTCCCAGACCCACTGACGACAAGAGCCATTGACTGCATATATAGATGAAACTCCAGTTCTTGGGGACAGACATCATCAACCCAATATCCCCTTGGCTCAGTGCTATGCAGCCCTTCCCTTTGGATATCCCTTCCCCATCCCACTTCTTAAATAAATTCAAATTTTCTTTATCCAGCATCTGAAATGGCTATTTAGCCTGCCCAAGTACCACCATGTTAACCTTTCACCCATCCTTCACCAGTTTAAATTACATAGTGTTTTCATAACGCAAAGAATTCATCGATTATAGCCAACCTAAGATTCTCAGCCATCTGGCAACTTCTTTATCTGCAAATATCATTTATTGGCATTTAGAAAGAGATTCAAACAAAGCAAAATCTTGATAAACTTAATTCATTAATAATAAAACCAGTTCTATCCTCCACTTCCTTCACTGGGATTACAACCGGTACCTGAGCAATCTTAATATTTTAATAATAAAAAACCCAAGGGGATTCCTTAAAATATGACAAGATAAAAGTTATTTTTAGAAAGTACAGAGCTGCAAAAATATAAAATACTATCATCCCCCAAATTGTCAGAAACAGACTCCCTAACATATTTCAATAGATGTTTAAATAATTCTAAAGGATCTGAATAAAAACCCTTAACATAAATTATTATAAAGATTTCCGAAACTGAATCCAGTCAAGTATTAAAGTAACTGAAAAATAAGCCATAGGTCAATTGTTATAAACTGATATAAAATAAATACTACCTGTCCGTGGATCCAAGATGGAAACATAGGGGAAATCCCCTAGCTTATAAAACTGTATGTATCTCTGACCTTCCTCACTGTCATGATAAACCTGTAAAATCATTGATATAAAGAAAAGTCAATCTCTAAAAAAGTATTAACTGTATCCTTGTTATATACCAACAATTAATTCTCCAAATACACTTTTAGTATAGTATGTTAAGATTCATTGCTACATTAAAGAGAAAAATGAAAGTAATCTGGTGAGAACTACCTCAACTTCCTGTCCTCAGTCCCTGTGAAAACTTATATATCAATCCATTTTTCCTCCCTTTCCAGTTCAGAAGAGATATTGCTCTTTCTGATCAAGTTATCTGTCTACCTATATTATTCCAAACTCTATCAGATACATCTTAATAAATCACTACATACTGAGACGATAAGCTTGAATGGCTAGCACAGTGCTAGTCAGAGAGATGCTCAATCAATAGTTGCGGAAGAGCCCAGTTAGTGTGGCTCAGCGGTTGAGCATTGACCCAGAACCAACAGATCACTGATTCTATTCCCGGACAGGGCACATGGCCGGGTTGTGGGCTCTATCGCCAGTAGGGGGTGTGCAGGAGGTAGCTGAATGATGATGCTCCTCTCTCATTAATGTTTCTATCTCTCTATCCCTCTCCCTTCCACTCTCACTATTAAGAAGAAAAAGAAAAAAAAGAAAAAAAAATCAGCCGGGACCGGTTTGGCTCAATGCATAGAGCGTCGGCTTGGGGACTGAAGGGCCCCGGGTTCGATTCCGGTCAAGGGCATGTACCTTGGTTGCGGGCATATCCCCAGTAGGGGGTGTGCAAGAGGCAACTGATCAATGACTCTCTCTCATTGATGTTTCAAACTTTCTATCTCTCTCCCTTCCACTCTGTACAAAAATCAATAAAATATATATTAAAAAAAAAATCAATACAAACATTTTAAAAAAATAGTTGTAGAAGAAAAATTTACCATTCAAAAAAATATTGAATTTAGGGAACCTGTAAAACATGAATGAATAAATAAATAACATTAACAGCGAGCGCCCTGACCAGTTTGGCTCAGTGGATAGAGCGTTGGTCTGAGGACTCAAGGGTCCCGGGTTCGATTCCAGTCAAGGGCATGTACCTTGGTTGCGGGCACATCCCCGATAGGGGTTGTGCAGGAGGCAGCTGATTGATGTTTCTCTCTCATCGATGTTTCTAAATCTCTATCCTCTCCCTTCCTCTCTGTAAAAAATCAATAAAATATATATTTTTTAAAATAAATAAATAGCATTAATAGCATATCTTATAAAGGAAAAAATTAAGTTCATTCAGATGTTTTTATTTTTAAATTCTTCATAAAAATATAAAAATTTGAACAAAATTATCTAATCTTAGCTTGGTAATTTACATAAAAAGAAAATAGAATCAGCAAGATTAAGTGACATGTCTAAGAAATATAAATAAAAAGTATAAAACTCAAGCTAAAATCCAAGCCTTAGTCAAATGTTTTTCCATTACTGAAGACCTTCTACATTCACACTGTCAATTATAACCACCACTACAACATGTGCTACTGAAGTACTTGAAATGTGACGGGCTGGTCTGAACTGAGCAGTTCTGTATGTATAAAATATACACACCACATCTTAGAGACTTCACACACACACATTCAAAAACCAAAACATTTCATTAAGATTTTAATATCTGTTTGATATTAGATATATTGATTTTAAAACAATAAATTAATTTCACCTATTTCTTTTGACCTTTTAAAATGTGGCTGCTAGAGCATTTTTAATTAAATATGTGCTCACATTATATTCCTCCTAGAGGTCTGCTGCACGAGATTCATGCACTGGGGGTGGGGGAGGGTGTCCTTCAGCTGGGCCCGCACCCTCTCTCAGTATGGGACCCCTGAGGGATATCTTGCTTCCAGGGGGATCGGGCCTAAGCCAGCAGCCAGACATCCCTCTCGCAATCCGGGGCTCTCACAGTTTGGGACCCCTCACTCCTTACCTCCCACCACTACCGCTGAACTCGCCAGCCATGAGCCCAGCTTCTGGCTAAGCAGTGCTCCCCCTGTGGGAGCACACTGACCACCAGGGGGCAGCTCCTGCGTTGAGCCTCTGGCCCCTGGTAGTCAGTGCTCATCATATCAACCAGTCGATTTGCATATTAGGGTTTTATTATATAGAACTGAATAGTATGGTTATACACCCTATCAAGATATTTTAGGTCATCTGAGATATGAATATTATATAGTTATGCAGCTTGGTTCTTTCTTTCCTTCCCTTAAGAGTTCTTCATTGTTGCCCTAATTTTCACTTGTCCTTACTATTTCAGCCATTATGTGTGGTTTTACCTTTACATATATCATAATTTAACTCAGTTATTAGAATTTTTGCAATTTATTAAATTCCTCCTTCTCAACATCCCATACGACAAAAGTAAAATGCTACTAAAACCTTAACTCTCCTCACCTGCCAGAAAATGAAATGTTCCCGGATAATATTTTTCACAGCATCATTGCTCCATACATCACGGTTGAGGCACTGGCATGCAAAGTCTTGTACATTTTGAATGTTTATCATCAGCCACTTATTCTGCATCTGCCCACACTCTTTGGCCTATGAGAGTAAAGTTACAGAACACCTGTTAGAAATAATTTCTCCTTGGTAACTGATATGTTTCAGAGTTCAGAAACTGTTATCATTTAAATACTACTAAGTTTTTCCCCTCAAGTATAACATTTAGAGTTTTTGGTGTGTGTGTGTGTGTGTGTGTGTATATATATATATATATATATATATATATATATATATATATAATGTAAAATAATTTACATTAATTGGTATAGATACATATAATTATACTGTCCATTTTCAAGCATTTTTCAGATTTAAATAAATTGTTATTGTTATAATGGCTGGACTTTTATTGTATATTTAAACATCTGAAAAAAAAATTATACAAACTTAAGGTCAAGTCACAAAATTCTATCACATTATTTTTTTCAACCCCTATTAGGCACGTACTATTTCATAGGATCACCTTAAATATTTCTGTAAAAGCTGCTAAGGGTTTTTTTCTCTTATGTTTGTTTTCCTAGGAGATTTTAAAAAATGAGATTATAGAATCAAAGAATGTTTCAGAATGATTTTTAAAAAAAAACAATTTATAGCACAAATATTAATCATGAATGTGTACTTTTTACCTAATAGTTCGTTGTCACCTTAAAAACCTAAAAAGTTGCTGAATACAAAGATTGGCAGAAAAGCAAATGAGCGAGCAAATGCTTCATTAAACCTTTGTATAGGAACAATGAAATGAAAGCCATAGTTTTGAGTAATTTTGTCTTAGAACAATATTATTTCCCATATCAGACTGGCACAGATCTTCAATTAACTCAGTTTAATAACAGTTGAAAAACCTACATCATTTTGGAGGTAATGAACAATGTAAGACTATCTTCTGCTTTAAGAAGGTTTACACAGTCTTACAGATAACTATTATCCTATTTTTTATATGAATCCTCTAGAAAAAAATCATTTTCTGATATTTAATGTTGATTCCATACGAAAACTCAAGTTCAAAAAGGAATCCCTGATTTGAGCCAGAAAGCTGTATATAACTAGTCAAAAACTTATTTTAAAATATATAAATACTAGAGGCCTGGTGCACAAATTTCAGGGTGGGGTGAGGTGTGTCCCTAGCCCAACCTACACTCTCTCCAATCTGGGACCCCTTGAGGGATGTCCGACTGCCCATTTAGGCCTGATCCCATCGGGCCTGCAGGGGAAGGCAGTTCAAAGATGAGGGTATGCAGTTCATAGCCCAAGGCATGCAGTTCACCCCTAACTGCCTTCCCTGCCCCGAAATGCCCTCCCCTCCAGTCCTGGTCACCCCCCAACTGCCCTCCCCTGCAGGCCTGGTTGCCCCTAACCCCCTCCCCTGCCAGCCAGGTCACCCCTAACTGCCCTCCCTGCCAGCCTGGTTGCCCCTAACTGCTCTCTCCTGCTGGCCTGGTCGCCCTCAACTGCCCTCCCCTGCAGGCCTGATCGCCCACAACTGTCCTCCCCTGCTTGCCATCTTGTGTCCACATAGGTTAGCCATCTTGTGTGTTGGAGAGATGGTCAATTTGCATATCACCTCTTTATTATTTATCCCTTACTCCTATAAAGTAATAGTGTTCAACTTACTTCCTTACCTATAGCATGCATATAGGTTTGATAAATGTATACTTATATACCTTAACTGGAAAAAAAAACATTTGAGAGGGGGAAAAAATTTTTTTAAACAAATTCATATTTTATTTACGTTGAAATAAACTGTACAAAATTGACTTTCTTCACCAAAAATAACAGCAATATTTTCTGTATTATTCCTAGATAAACTAAAAAACACATTTTTGTAGGTTGTCTAGGTTTTACTTATAAATCAAGACGAGGCAGTAGATATAATCATGGAAAAACACAGAATAAAAAAGACCAATCTGTTGTCAATATCCATGGCCTCCGATCCTGTCTTGGCCATGAAACAGAAGTGTTCAACATATACTTGCTAAAAAGCTTATGAAGATATAGGCTCAACAAAGGAATGTAAACAGCAACACCCAGATGTGGAACAATGGCAGGTTCTTCCTTCAATGTTTAACAGTAACTTGTTTAAGATTATCGAATAAAGACAAAATCTATACTGAAATCCTTGTTTGGCAAGTCACGTTTCTTTCACTATCTGATAATTTAACTGTTCATTATAGATTTTTAATAGCATACTTAAAACTCTTGCTATTCAAAGGTTCGTCATGAGCTTCACTGTAAAATTTTATGAAATGTATTAGCCCCCATACTTTCTCAAATTTGATTTCTTCAAAGAACTGGTAACTCAATACCCAACAACTGGATCCACAGTGATAATAAATGTTATGTCTAAAATGACTTAACTAAAACAATTCCAAAGTGCCATTAGCAGAGATCACGCAGAAAAGCAACGTGACACTTTCAACACTACCGAGAGGGAAAAATTTAATACACATTTCTATAACAGGGTAAATGTACATAAGTCTGCCTAAAACTACAACACAGAGAAGAAAAAAAAACTCGAGTTTAAAAATGATGGTCATTTATTTTTGTTTTTAAACATTTATTGACATTTATGCTTTAATTCAGATTCATTCATCCAACAAATAAACTTACTGAGTACCTATCATGTTTCAGGTATAGCTATAGATGCTGGAATTAGAGCAGTTACCAAAACACAAAATCCCTGCCTTCATGAAGCTACATTGGAGAGAAACCTTATATCAATCAATATGACACTAATTTACTGCTGAAAGGAAAAGCCCAAAGACATGAATTTTATGCAAAGCAACAATGTTTAGAGGGAATACAAGAGTCTTACACAAATGATGAACTTTCTCTCTTGGAATCTATTAGACTATTCAGAATCAACACTCAAAAGCCATTTTATGAAGACCCAAGAACAAGTGTGACTACATCAAATAGAGACGTTTGTGATATGACTTATCTGTGACAAGGGGAAACAGTGAGAGTATCTCTCCCAGTCCCAACAGATCAGTAAAGAAAAAAACAACAACAACAAAAAAAAAACACACACACAAAGAAACAGAATAGCCCTAGCTGGTTTGGCTCAGTGAATAGACATCAGCCTGCGGATTGAAGGGTCCTGGGTCCAATTCAAGGGCACATGCCGGGGTTGTGGGCATGATCCCCAGTGGGGGATTGTGTAGAAGGCAGCCGATTGGTGATTCTCTCTCCTCATTGATGTTTCTCTCCCTCTCCCTTCCTCTCTGAGATCAATAAAAATATATATTTTTAAAAATACAAAGGAAAAGATATAATAATAGGTATACATAAAGTCAAGAAAAAAAATATTAAAACTAGAGGCCCATTGCATGAAATTTGTGTCCCTCAGCCCAGTCTTCACCCTCTCCAATCTGGGACCCCCTTGAGGGATGTCCAACTGCCCAGCAGGATCGGGCCTAAACGGGCAGTTGAACATCTCTCTCACAATCCAGGACTGCTGGCTCCCAACTGCTTGCCTTCATGCCTTCCTGATTGCTCCTAACCACTTCTGCCCACCAGCTTGATCACACCCTAACCTGATCACTCCCCTGCCAGCCTGATTGGTGCCTAACTGATCCCCTGCCAGCCTGATTGCCCCTATCTGCCCTCCCCTGCAAGCCTCATCCCCCCCCCAACTGCTCTCACCTGCAGGCCCGGTCACCCCCAACTTCCCTCCTCTGCCAGCCTGGTCACACCTAACTGCCCTCCCTTGCAGGCCTGGTCCCTCCCAACTATTCTCCCCTACTGGCCATCTTGTGGCACCCATCTTGTGTCCACATGGGGGCAGCCATCTTTGACCATATGAGGGCAGCCATCTTGTGTGTTGGAGTGATGGTCAATTTGCATATTATTCTTTTATTAGATAGGATAGAGGCCTGGCGCATGGGTGAGGGCCAGCTGGTTTGCTCTGAAGGGTGTTCCAGGTCAGTGGGGATTCCCTTGTGGCATAGGGCGGCTTGAGTGCGGGGCCTGTAGTGGTTTGCAGGCCGGCCACACTGCCCAGCAACCCAAGTGGAGGCCCTGATATCTGGGATTTATTTAACTACTATAATTGAAACTTTGTAGCCTTAGGCAGAGGCCAAGGCCGGCCAGGGTGGGTGGGAAGCTTGGCTTCCTCCATTGCCAGGGAAACCCAAGCCTCCTGCTCGCTCTGTGGTCACAGCCATCTTGGTTGGATTAATTTGCATACTCACTCCTGATTGGCTTGTGTGTGTGGCTTGTGGGTGTAGCAGATGTATGATCAATTTGCATGTTTCCCTTTTATTATTGTAGATATGCACAGTACTTTTTAATGGAAATTGTTATTTTATTCCCCCCCACACTGGTTTGCTATATTTGCCAACTTTGAATAAAACTAAATATAAGCTATGTATAAAGTTTATTTTTTAAAAGTTTATCATAAATATTTTGTTACTGAATTGGTTCTTTATATTTTTAGCTAAAATAGTTTTACTAGCAGGACTTTCTTTGGGGGGCAATTATGAATCTTTTATTTTTTTAATTTTTTAATTTCTTCGTTGATTAAGGTATTACATATGTGTCCTCATCCCCCCATTACTAGCAGGAGTTTTAAAATTAGCAAAGTATTCTTAGTAATTACGACTAGGTACATGTGAATTAAATGATAACAAATAAATATGCATTTATAATGAAAATAAGGACTATTATGGAAATTGTTCTGATTCTTTCTGTACCATATACTCCAGATTATACCTTTCAGTTATATAAGAAAGATTCATTGAGGGCCAATTATGTGCCAAAAGCTCTTCTAGGCATTGAATACAATGACAAATAAAACAAAGTTCCTGTGTTCATGGAAATTACAAGCTACATGTTCCCTTATCTAGATCAGATCATTCATCCTAAGTGGGTCACTCAGCTATAGCTATACTAATTTCCTTGGCTGTACCAGAAATATATCCTAGTTCCTTTCAGCCTAACTATCTGCTGTTCCACCTGACGTTCATATGGTCCACGTTCCTTCACTTCACTCAGGTTTCTGCTCAAATCCCATCCTTCAGCATCTTCCTTGATCTTCCTATCTAAAACAGTCTTCTCTCCTCACAATTACAAACATATGTGAAACCTATGGAATCAACCCTGCTTTTAATTTTGCTTAAGTATATATGCATCTTAGTGGCTCTAAACAACAAAAAATTGCCCTTTCTCTTTTTCCTTTATTCTATTTTAGTTTTTAAAATGTATTTTTATTGATTTCAGAGGGGAAGGGCAAGGGAGAAAAATATAGAAACATCAATAATGAAAGAGAATCATTTATCAGTGGCCCTCCTGTACACCCCACACTGGGGATCCAGCCTGATACGTGGGCATGTGCCTTGATTGGGAATCAAACCGTGACCTCCTGGTTCATAAGTCGATGATCAACCATTGAGCCACGCCAAATGGGTCTCTTATTCTATTTTAGTTTATTTTCTCCCACTACATACTATAACCTAAAAGTACACCCTATCTCTCTATACTGTATATACATACACAAAACATGTTTTACATATATGTATATACATTTGATTTTTGTTTGTTTATAGTCTGTTTCTCCCTCTTTTCTTATAAACCTTTTATGGCAAGGACTTTGAGTAATTTGCACTATCTACCAGGGGCAGAAACTGCTTATAGGTACCAGATATCCATTTTCTTCTAAGCACCTGGATTTCCTAGTATCCCTTGCAATAGGTGTAAGCATATTAGCAAGTTCTGGTCAATGGGATGTGAGCAGAAGTAATGTATACAACTTCTAGTTATGCCGTTAAAAGAAAAAGTATACCCTTCTCAGCCCCCTCCCTCCTTCATTCTGGCTAGAAAGCAAACATGGTGGTAAGCTACCTTGAATCATGTAGGCAAAGACAAGCAACACCTAGGAAATAGAAAAAAAACAAAAAAAAGACAAGGAAACTTGTGCTAATAACTTCACAGAGCAGAACCATCCTAATAGCCTGGACTTCTATATCTTGTTTAAGCTACTATTTTTCTTCTTCCTGGTCTCTCTCACATACAGTAAAATCTATCCCAACAAATATAATCCCTATTACCTAGAACAAGGCCTTGCAAAAGGAGGCCTCGATAAATATTAAATGAACAAGTATATTACCGTAATCAGTCTCTTCAGAACCCTTGAATATGGTCTACCTCTTAGTTACACTAAGACAGTCTAGTTTCTAAAAGTGTATACTATAGCTCAGAGCTACATCTAATATTGTTCCCAAACCTACAGGCCCTGCCTGAGCAACCAAAGAGAGTCCGTATAATTTTTAACATTCACTTCTCTAAGCATCAATGACTTAATTTTTATTATGACCTCCCTAATTTATATAAAACTAATAGATATATCATTAATTATAACGAAATGCCTATTTTTTTCTGGGAGTGTAAATTTAAAGGTTCATTAATGATAAAATTTAGATTAGTGAAAATATGAATAAATTATTGCCAACAATGCAGGTCATGAAATACAAAGAAAAAAGGTGATGTAACTTTAAAAAGAGAACAAAAAAATCAGACAGTAATTTCAAAAAAGATTCACAGTTTACTTCAATGAGTTCAAAGTGACAAGATTAAATCAACCACAGAGTTATTTGTTAAGCCCTAGAGCAACTCAAAAGCTAATGAAAAGGAAAACATGTCAAAACAAACTGAGATCATTGTTGTCTTTCAGATTGCTGCTACTCTCTCTCAGTGGCTATATTATCACCAGAACATTATAAAGGATAGGCAGACAAGCACTTGGAACACTAGAAAGTATAGGCAGCTACCGGGTTAAGATCATGAGGGAAGGATGAAGAAAACTGAGAAGGTATCTAACTTGACATATTTGAATTAAGAAAGACCAAAGACTTCCTCAACTCTAGACTTTTTATGAGACAAAAAGAAATATTTTTTTTAATCCTCACCAGAAGATATTCTTTCATTGATTTTTTTTTTTTTTTCTTAAGAGAAAGAGAGTGTAAGAGAGAGAGAAATATGGATGAAAGAGAAACATATCGATTGGCTGGATGCCTTGAGGGCCTGGGCCAATGGGAACCTATAACCAATGTACATGCCCTTTACCAGAATCAAACCTGGGACCCTTTGGTCTGCAGACACTCTATTCACTGAGCCAAACCCTTTAAAAAAATGTTTTGATTTCAGAGAGAGGAAGGGAGAGGGAGAGAGAGAGAAACATCAATGATGAGAATAATCTATCGGCTGCTTCCTGTACTGCTCCTCACTCCCCCACTGGGGGTTGAACCTGCAACCTGGGCATGTGTCCTGACCAGAAATCAAACTGTGACCTCCTGATTCATGGGTTGACGCTTAACCACTAAGCCACACCAGCTGGGCAAAAGAAACCTTTGTTTAGTCAAATCACCATCATTTGGAACTTCTGTGACATGCAATCAAACCCTTTCAGGTTTTTCAATTCAGAAAAATTAAAACTGAAGAGCAAGCTTATGGTTAAATTTCTTAACCTACATAATTTATTTAAGCTAGTGTATGAGTATGTCAAGGAAAAAAAACTTTTTTTAAACTATCATAATTCACTTTCAAATATGTAGCTGTAGCTACTAACGTATTTTTATGGTTATTGTTTGGCCTACTTTATTCTAACAGATAAGACTTAATCTTAAATGTAATTGATTTACATCAATGCAAATGCCATTCTAATGCAAAAGAGCATTAACAAGCTATTTAATACACAAAAGCAAGCTGTTTGAACACCTCAACAGAATATTTAAAACCCTATCTAAATTCACTCACTTAACAAATACTAGGTCCTATTAAATGCCAGAGACTAGGTACCAAGATTTACCAAAATAAAAAGATGTACAATCTCCCTGCCCTTATTAAGCTTATAATTCAGCAAATAATCAAATAAACTTGCTCTGGGAAGTTTTTCTTTGGAATTAACCAAATCAGAATATATTCTGCAACTAGAGATATTCTTTTAAAATACACTGCCCTAGCTAGTTTGGCTCAATGGATAGCGTATCAGCCATCGAATTGAAGGGTACTGGGTTCAATTCCAGTCAAGGGCATATTCCCGGGTTGTGGACTTCACCTCCAGTAGGAGTTGTATAGGAGGCAGCCAATCAGTGATTCTTTCTCATCATTGATGTTTCTATCTCTCTTTCCCCTCTTCCTTCCTCTCTAAAATCAATAAAAATATATTTTAAAAAATACACTAAGAACCCTCTAGAAATGTGGGCAAAAGGTACCTACAAACAATTCACAAATAGCCAACAAACATATGCACACTATTCTCAGTAGTAATCAAAGATATGTAAACAGTTAAAAAGTAAGATAATAAAAGAACTATCAAAATGGCAGATTCTAAAATGATACTACACAGGCTAATAAAATGTTTTCATCAAGCAATCTCATATACTGTTGGTACAAATATAAATTAATGTATCCCTTTAAGTATCTCTCATGTCATACTTAGTAGGATGCCAATTCCCTATACAGTATACTGAAAACCTTTTTTTTCTCTTAGAAAAAAAAATGGCATTGAAAATGCAGAAGAATTCATAACTAAAGCATAGAATTTCCAACTACTTACTGTTTCAAAGCTGCCCTTATGCATCAAATCAATGGGTGGCCGAAACAGATCTGCCAGGGTAGTTAGTTTCTTATCTATGGCTCCTCCATTTCTTAACTCTTGTTCTTGCCGAACTGAAACACAGAAGGATGAGAAAGTTTCAACTAACCATAAAAGGAATAAATCTAACAATATAAAAAGCATGTATCAATTGTAAGAATTACTGAACAATGTTCTTGACCTCAAATTGCAATTATTAAATGCTAATTCTGAAAAAAAAAAAAAAATGCGAAGCAAGGTAGGAAGGGAGTCTTAAAACTTGGTGGTGGCTTTCTACCCAAAGGTAAGAATAAAAGCAGAAATTTGTATTAGTTTTACAATCAAAGTAGTTCCTTCACATATTGAAAACTTTATTTTAAGAGAAAACTTTTAACTCCATTTATCTAGTTCTAAAAGTGATCTTAATTTACCTGTAGTTTCCAGCTATATTCCCAATCTTCAAAGTCTCTGGCACTAGTAAGAATGACCACTGCTATCACCTTCTCCTGGCAGGGCATAGGATTCCCTGGATGACCTGAGTCAGTTTGGGTTCCCCTTCAACACTCCCCAAAGTTACAAGATCTACTTGTGCTTTAATGGGCTCATTATAAATCAACTATAAAATCAAACATGGTCCAAGAATTTCTCTTATATTCCCTCAAATGTAACTGTCCTCTTTACAATTTCATTGCTAAATCAGTACTAATTCCTCTAAAAGTTTAAGATCAAGATTCTCATTCTAACTTATTCCACAGAAATATATAAACCTATTCTAAACATCTGTAGCCAAAATGTTAATACTGGCTGCTTTGGGTGTGGCTTTTTCTTCTATTTTTCAATTCCCCATTGTGTTCATTAACAGATACTAGGATCTTGAGGGTAATCAGTTTTTTATTATAGTCAGTATTTGTGAGCTCATTCAAAAGCTCATTAAGTTTGTAAATTACCTTAATTTTTTTACTTTATCTCCACCTCTTATTATTCCATTACTGAGTGAGTAGGTTAAAATTTAAAACAAATCAGTCTGGAAGAATTAATAACAATCACAGACTGAATTAATAATTTTACTTTTAAAATAAGGTGATTCTTCAAAGTAATTAGACCTCATATTAATCTTTTTCTTTTTAAGAAACAGTATATAGCCTAGTCCAGTGGTTGGCAAACTCATTAGTCAACAGAGCCAAATATCAACAGTACGACGATTGAAATTTCTCTTGAGAGCCAAATTTTTTAAACTTAAACTTCTTTTAATACTTCTTCAAAACAGACTTGCCCAGGCCGTGGTATTTTGTGGAAGAGCCACACTCCAGGGGCCAAAGAGCTGCATGTGGCTCATGAGCCACAGTTTGCCGATCACTGACCTAGCCAGTTTGGCTCAGTGGATAGTGTCAGCCTGCGAACTGAAAGGTCCTTGGTTGGATTCTGGTCAAGGGCATATGCCTGGATTGCAGACTCAATCCCCAGTAGGGGGCATGCAGGATGCAGTCAATCAATGATTCTCTCTCATCACTGATGTTTTCAACTCTCTCTCTCACAAAAATTTAAAAAAAAAAAAAAAAAAAAAAAAGGTATATAAATGAAACTAAGAACTTGACCTGTTAGGGTATAGGAACTTTTCCACTTTGTGGTTTTATGCATGGGAGAGAGAGGGAAAAGGAAAGGAGGGAAAGACAAGGAGAGACAGATAGAAGAAAGATAAATTGATTCATAGATACCTACTAGTTTCAGTTTGAAAATCCCGAAAACCATCAAATATTGAACGTGCAGGTCGCCGTCTTTTAGGAGCTTTAAGGGGTAAAAACAGAATTATACAAAGATTTAAACATTAATTTTGAAACAATTCTAAAAACTTCCTTATCTGTAAGTATTGGTTTTAAAACACTCATAGATTCACAATGGTGCCCCCCTTCAAAAAAAAGGAAGTTTTAAAAACTTTCAAATAATTCATACATAATTAACTCAACCATCTTCCACTCAATGATTTTGTTTTACAAACGAGAAAATTAACGTCCTATTAAAGAGACTTGACCAAACCTGTGCAAAAGACAAGATTTTGAGGACAACTCCCCATGGAAATGAAGCTGCAAATGTTGCCAATATCTAATTCAGGTTAGCCTAAGGCAGTGATTTTCAACCAGTGTGCCACACAAATTTTTAAAACATGCAATGCTTGCCGAAACTGGTTTGGCTCAGTGGATAGAGCATCGGCTGGAGGACTGAAGAGTCCTGGATTTGATTCCAGTCAGGGGCATGTACCTTGGTTGCAGGCACATCCCCAGGAGGCAGCTGATCGATGTTTCTCTCTCATCGATGTTTCTAACTCTCTATTCCTCTCTCTTCCTCTCTGTAAAAAATCAATAAAAATATATATTTTTAAAACTAAATTAATTTTAAAAAATAAAACATGCAATGCTTATTTAGTGAGGGGCACTGACTCTTTTCTCTAAGGCTGTCAAATGACAATAGCCCTAGCCCATTTTGCTCAGCAGTTAGAGTGCTGACCCTTGGACTGAAGGATCGTAGGTTTGATTCCAGGCAGGGGCATGTACCTCGGTTTCAGGCTTGACCTCAGCACTGGCTGGGCTTGTGTGGAAAGTAACCAATCTATGTATCTCTTAACCATTTTTTTCCCCTCTGTCTCTCCCCCTCCCTTCCACTCTTTCTAAAAAAAGAATTAAAAATAAAAATAAAAATAAATCAATGGAAAAAATATCCTCAGGTAAAAATTACCAAAAAAAAAAAAAAAAAAAAAGACAACAGCCCACTCAGTGTGACTCAGTGGCTGAGTGTCAACCTATGAACCAGGAGGTAACAATTTGAATCCCCATCAGGGCACACGCTCAATCCCCAGTAGAGGTTATGCAGGAGGCAGCCAATCAATGACTGCCAGCAGTCAGACATCCCCTCATAATCCTGGACCGCTGACTCCTAATTGCTCACCTGCCTGCCTGCCTGCCTGCCTGTCCCTAACTGCTCCCTCCTGCAGGCCTGATCACTCCTAAATGCTGTCCCCCCAACCCCCGCCAACCTAGTTGCTCCTAACTGCCATCCCCGCCAGCCTTGTCACCCCCGCCTGTTCCCCTCTGCCGGCCTGATTACCCATAACTGCCCCATTGCCGCCAGGTTGCCCCAACTGCCCACCCTCCCCGTTGGCCTGATCACCCCCACTGCCCCCCCTGCCAGCCTGGTCACCCCTCACGCGCACCCACCCCACCTGCCAACCTGGTCACCCTGTGAAGCCTGCTTGTCCAGTCATTTGATCGTCCCTCACTAACCACCTGCCAGCTTGGTCATAGGTAGCCATCTTGGGAGGGTGTGAGGGTTAATTTGCATATAACCCCTTTATTATATCAGATGTATTGATCTTTTGGAATTATCTATTTAGTCCTAGCTAGTTTGGCTCAGTGGATAAGTGTCTGTCAGCCTATGGACTGAAGGGTCCCAGGTTCGATTCTAGTCAAGGGCATGTACCTTGGTTACAGGCTCCTCCCCAGCCTGGGCCCTAGTCAGGGCTCATGCAGGAGGCAAGTAATCGATGTGCTTCTCTTACATCGATCTTTCTCTCTGTCTTAACCTCTCTCTAAAAACCAATGAAAAAATATGCTCAAGTGAGGATTTAAAAAAATTTAAAAATATGTTCACTGAGTTATGCAAACAATTCAAATTTAACCATTTCATTATGCAATACTTTAAAAATCACCATTTTAATGTCACCAATAATCTCTTAAAAAGTGAGGCACGCTCTGGCTGGTTTGGCTCAATGGACAGAGCGTCAGCCTGCGGACTGAAGGGTCCCTGGTTCGATTCCAGCCAAGGGCACATGCCTGGATTGTGGGCTCAATCCCCAGTGGGGGGCATGCAGGAGGTAGCCAATCAATGATGCTCTCTCATCATTGATGTTTCTATCTCTCTCTCTTCCTCTCTAAAATCAATTATATAGCCAAAATCAGTTTGGCTCAATAGATAGAGCATCGGCTTGGGACTGAAAGGTTCCAGGTTTGATTCCGGTCAAGGGCATGTGCCTTGGTTGCGGGCACATCCCCAGTAGGGGGTGTGCAAGAGGAAGCTGATCGATGTCTGTCTCTCATCGATGTTTCTAACTCTCTATCTCTCTCCCTTCCTCTCTGTACAAAATCAATAAAATATATTTTTTTAAAAATCAATTATACACACACACACACACACATATATATATATATATATTTATTTTTTTTTAAGTGAGGCACTATTAGGCTCACAATCATGGATATAAACTTCCTAAATTCCAATTTCTGACTGAAAACTTTTTTTAAAAAAATCCTCAACTGAAGATATTTTTTCCACTGATCTTTAGAGAAAGAGTGAAAGGGAAGGAGAAGGAAGGAGGGGGGAATGGTGAGGGGAGAGGGAGGGAGGAAAGGAGGGAGGGAGGGAGGGAGGGGGAGAGAGAGAGAGAGAGAGAGAAACACATCAATGTGAGAGAGACATATTGATTGGTTGTCTCCCACACATGTTCCAACTGGGGCTGGGGATCAAACTTGCAACCAAAAGACATGTCCTTGATCAGAAATCAAACCCAAGGCTCTTTGGACTAACGCTCTAACCACTGAACAAAACTGGCCAGGGCTCTGCTTAAAGCTTTTTTAAATCATTGGTAACAAATAAATCAGTTGTTTGCCTTGAAGCAACAGGCTTTGTTCATATTTTAAAAAATGTCTATTCAATACTTAAATCTAAATAATCATAGTCTGCACAAGGGAAAAAAATAAACAAAGGACTGTATCAAACTAAAAAGGTTTTGCACAGCAAAGGAAACCATCAACAAAACAAAAAGACAAACTACATGGGATAAGCTATTTGTCAATGCTACATCTGATAAGGGGTTAATATCCAAAATTTATGAAGGACTTATGCAACTCAACACCAACCCCCCGACCCCTAAAACAATCCAATTTAAAAATGTCAGAGGATGCCCTGGCAGTTTGGCTCAGTGGATAGAGCACCGGCATGTGGACTGAAGGGTCCCAGGTTTGATGTTGATCGGGGGCATGTGCCTGGCTTGTAGGCTCGATCCCCAGTGGGGGGCATGCGGGAGGCAGCGGATCAATGATTCCCATCATTGATGTTTCTATCTCTCTTTCCCCTCCTCTCTCCCTTCATCTCTGAAATAAAATAAAATAAAAAATTTTAAAGGCAGAGAACCTGAATAGATACGTCTCCAAAAAAGACATACAAATGACCCAAAGACATATGAAAAGACACACTCAATGTCACTAATTGTCAGAGAAATGCAAAACCATAATGATATATCACCTCACACTTTTAAAAATGACTATCAATAAATACACAAATAGCAAGTGTTGGTGAGGATGTAGAGAAAGGGGAACCTTCATGCACTGATGGTGGGAATGCAGACTGCTATACCATTATTGAAAGCTCCTCAAAAAATTAAAAATGTTGCCCCGGCCAGAGTACAGAAGGGTCGTGGGTTTAATTCCAGGTCAAGGGCGAGTACCTCAGTTGCAGATTCAATTCCCAGCCCCAGTGAGGGCACAAGTGGGAGGCAACCTATCAATGTGTCTCTCTCATGATGATGTTTCTCTCCCCGCCCTCCCCCCAAATCTTTCTAAAAAAGAATCAATGGAAAAATATCTTTGGTGAGGACTAACTAGAAAAAAAAAAATCCCACAGTTTGTCAGCAATCAAGTGAAAATAATGCCCCGTAAAAAAGCAACTAGTTTTGCTTGCAACTTAAACAATTGTACAAGAACTTTTCCTTAAAACTACAGTACTTCAATATGCAGAAGTATTTTGTGCATACATCCTATTTTATCAAACATAAAAGTGTAAAAAATATGTGTTCAATGCTTAAGATTAAATGAAATTTTTACTGCTTCATTAAGATTAAACAAAATTGTCTTTTTTAAAAAACTGCAAGTGTGTGACAGTGAAGTAGTAAGTAGTACAGTTTGTACACTACCCTGATTTAATTAAGATGTCACAGTTTAACCCATCATTACTTTTTTTAATACTTTTTATTGATTTCAGAGAGGAAGGGAGGGGGAGGGAGAGAGAGAAACATCAATGATGAGAGAGAATCACTGGTTGGTTGCCACCTGCATGTCCTCTACTGGGGATTGAGCCTGCAATCCAGGCATGTACCCTTGACGGGAATCGAACCCGGACCCTAAGGTCTGCAAGTCAACGCTCTATCCACTGAGTCAAACTTAGGACACATCATTACTTTTGAGCCATCAATCCAAATGTCAGCACCGTGGAAAAAAAGCAAATAACTTCTTAGCATTATTATAAAAATAATTTTTATTTTAATATATTTTATTGACTTTTATAGAATGGAAGAGAGAGGGATAGAGAGTTAGAAACATCGATGAGAATCATCGATTAGTTGCCTCTTGCACACGACCTAGTGGGGATGTTCCCGCAACCAAGGTACATGCCCTTGACCGGAATCGAACCTGGGACCTTTCAGTCCGCAGACCAACGCTCTATCCACTGAGCTAAACCGGTTTCGGCATAAAAATAGTTTTGATCTTACAGACACCGTGAAAGGGTATTGAGAATCCTTGACCACACTTTAAGAATCACACTTTAGCCCACCAGGTGTGGCTCAGTGGTTGAAAATCAACCTACAAACCAGAAGGTCAGAGTTCAATTCCCCGTCTGGGCAAATGTCATGATTGTGGGCTTGATCCCCAGTGAGGGACATGCAGGAGGATGATTCTCTCTCATCATCAATGTTTCTATCTCTCTCCCTAACGTCCTCTATGAAATCAATAAAAAATATATTTTAAAAATCACATTTTTATACTGTCCTAAAAACAAATAATTCTCCGAAAACCTTCCTTAAGTTATAAGGTCCAATAGTAACAGTTCAGACTAAATTCCCAACTGTATAAAGTCATTCTTATCCCCATCCTAATGTATATCAAACCAGAGGTAAAAGAAGGAAAGTAAGATTTCAAATGGGAACTCTTTTGCCTCTGTTCAACAATAAACAGCACAAAATCTATTTCCTGTTGTCTTTCTCCACTCAAAGATCTCATCTTCTTACTTGCAATAAAGAAAAGATAGAGCTTCCAAGTTATTATTCTTAGGCTCTAAAAATCTATTCATAACATTTATATTTTAAAAAATTATTACTCGCTTTATTCTAGTATATTAACAACACAATGGCTAAATCAAACAACACAGAAAGCACATATTATACTTCAATATTCAGATCTTATCATTTTCTTCCTTCCATCCCTATTTCTGAATTGAAACAGTGTATTTTATTTCTTACTACAGTAAACTCCAAAGTTAAAGATCAATCTTTAAAAAAACAACACTCTCATTCTCTAGCCGAAACCGGTTTGGCTCACTGGATAGAGCATCGAAAAGTCCCAGGTTCGATTCCGGTCAAGGGCATGTACCTTGGTTGCGGGCACATCCCCAGAAGGGGGTGTGCAAGAGGCAGCTGATCGATATTTCTCTCTCATCGATGTTTCTGGCTCTCTATCCCTCTCTCTTCCTCTCTGTAAAAAAATCAATATATTAAAATAAATAAACAAACACACAAACAAACAAACAACACTCTCAACTAAGGTGCTTTTTCAAATCAAAAGATATGGCCCTGGCCTGTATGGCCCAGGTGGTTGGGCATCATCCCATGCACCAAAAGGATGTTTCAATGGATCAATGGATGTTTCTCTCTCACACTGATGTTTCTCTCTTGCCCTCTCTCTTCCTCTCCCTCTAAAATTAAAGGGAAACATTTAAATATATATATATATATATATATATATATATATATATATATATATATATATATATGGTTTATATAAAACAAACAAACAAAATAGAAACAAACTCAAAGATACAGTGAACAGACTGACAACTTTAGAGGGGAGAGAAGAAAGAACTGGGTGAAAAAGATTTAAGTAAAAAAGGATTGGAGCCCAAACCGGTTTGGCTCAGTGGTAGAGCATGGGTCTGCGGACTGAAAGGTCCCAGGTTTGATTCCGGTCAAGGGCATGTACTTGGTTGCGGGCACATCCCCGGTAAGGGGTATGCAAGAGGCAGTTGGTCGGTGTTTCCCTCTCATCGATGTTTCTAGCTCTCTATCTCTCTCCCTTTCTCTCTGTAAAAAATTAATAAAAATATATATTTTTTTAAAAAGGATTAGAAAAAAAAACACACAAACAAACAAACCCTCAAAGACAGATGGGAGAGATAGGAGAGTATAAAGGGAGGTAAGTGGTAATAGAAAGAGACTTGACATGGGATGGTAAACACACAACACAATATACAGATGATGTATTATAGAACTGTACCCCTGAAATCTTCAATTTTATTAACCAATGTCACCCCAAAAATTCAATTAAAAAAATATGGTTTATATGTTTTCTTTATTCCTATCTTACTATTTTTTTTCTCCTTTAATCTAGTTTACCTATAAAACTTTTCATGGGCCTATTTCTCTACATTAATGTCCTCAATATGTACTATATAGATTTCTATGCACTTGTTTACCCAACTAGATTATCTTCAATTTTTAAAAAAATATATTTTATTGATTTTTTACAGAGAAGGAGAGAGAGAGCTAGAAATGTCGATGAGAGAGAAACATCAACCAGCTGCCTCCTGCACACCCCCACCAGGGATGTGCCCGCAACCAATGTACATGTCCTTGACCGGAATCGAATCTGGGACCCTTCAGTCGGCAGGCCGACGCTCTACCACTGAGCCAAACCGGTTTCGGCTATCTTCAATTTTTTAACATACCTTTTAATGTCTACAATATTTGGCTCACAGAAGGTAAATAAGTGTTTATGAAACTAAAACTATAAATTTTCTTTAAATCTGATTAAACATACTATTTTCTACCATATTTTCTTTGCACCCATATAGATTAATTTTTTTTTTTTTACACGGATATGGTAACATTTACTCTTTGTTCAAAATAGGAATAGCTTGTCTAGAAATTAAGAAAGAGTGAATATAAGGCATATCAAGACAGTAAGATTATGCAGTCATAATTTAGGGATCCAGAACATAAAAATAACTGGAATCTTTAATGAGAGATTGACTGGTTTCCATTATAAGCACAGTTCTTTTTGCTAATTTTCTCCCTTTTGCTTCCTGTAACAAATATCAACGTTTTAATCTGGTTCACTCCTTGGAAAGATCAATTGTACAACTTTCCAAAGAGTACAGAATTACAAGGTAAGAATTTTCTCAATACTTGAATTAACAATCTGAGCAAGCCTTCATATATTTTGATTGCTTCATTAAAATCCTAGAAACAACAACAAAGTCAAACAAAACTAAGGAAAAAGGGAAACTTACCACCAAACAAAGGTTCTGGTTCTACCAATATTTCCTGTTTTTGAGGAATTGGGGCACGAACTTCTTCTCTATTAAAAAAAGTGGAAAAATATCAAAATGAAAATGTTTTTTTTGCTACCTGTTTCCACTGTAACTATTGTGAATGCACTCGAATTAATAAATAAAATGAATACCAATCTTAGTGAATTTTAGGAACCACAGTGATAAATGATTGTTAGATGGTTTCCATATAGAGATCAACTGGAATAAAGTACATGGCACAGATATCTCAAATAATTTACAAAGGAAGAGAACAAACAAAAGTAAAAAGTATTTCCCCTTTCCTCTCAAGTTCTCTAACCTAAATTCTTTCCCAAAAAAAGAGAGGGAATTAAAAAAAAAATTAAAAAATATTGGCTTAGCCGAAGCCGGTTTGGCTCAGTGGAAGTGCGTCGGCCTGGGGACTGAAGGGTCCTGGGTTCAATTCCAGTCAAGGGCATGTACATTGGTTGCGGGCACATCCCCAGTGGGGGGTGTGCAGGAGGCAGCTGGTCGATGTTTCTCTCTCATCGACGTTTCTAACTCTCTATCCCTCTCAATTCCTCTCTGTGTAAAATCAATAAAATATATTTTAAAAAAATATTGGTTTAATAAAAGCACTATTACTACCATATAAAATAAGTAATTAAATTACACAGATAGAGTAAATAAGCTTAAACAAACATGCAGTGAATTTGAATTTTATGCTTGTTATGAAGATGGCCAACATAGGTATTGCCCTGAATTATTTATTAAGTAGACCCTACTATACACTAAACAGAAAAAGTAATTACTCCTCTTATAAAAGCCTATTAACTCTTCAAAGTTTACCTCTAGAGGGTTTAATAATAATCTACCTCTTCCAGTAAAAAATACTTTAAATAGCCGAAACCGGTTTGGCTCAATGGATAGAGCGTCGGCTTGGGGACTGGAGGGCCCGGGTTCGATTCCGGTCAAGGGCATGTACCTTGGTTGCGGGCATATCCCCAGTAGGGGGTGTGCAAGAGGCAGCTGGTCGATGACTCTCTCTCATCGATGTTTCTAACTCTCTATCTCTCTCTCTTCCTCTCTGTACAAAATCAAATAAAATATATTTAAAAAAAAAAAAAAAATACTTTAAATATACTGTTAAAATGGTGTATATTCCTTTAAATATCAGTTTATTTTATAGTTTTAATCCAAATACTAAATTCTGCTGATTAATTTTCAAATAGTAAGTTCCAAATTTATTATCTTCCTGTTTACAATAAATGTTAATTTAAGTTAGGCCCTATGTTTTTCATTCAGGTGTGTCTAATAATAACAGCTGAACTGAAGGCACTGTTTTTTTATATCTGAGAGTTGAAAATCTAAAACAGCCGAAACCGGTTTGGCTCAATAGATAAGAGTGTTGGCCTGCAGACTGAGGGGTCCCAGGTTCAATTCCTATCAAGGGCATGTACCTTGGTTGTGGGCACAACCCCAGTAGGGAGTATGCAGGAGGCAGCTGATTGATGTTTCTCTCTCATCGATGTTTCTAACTCTTTATCCCTCTCCCTTCCTCTCTATAAAAAAAAATCAATAAAATAAATTAAAATTTAATTTAATTTAATTTAAAAATAAAATAAAAATAAAATCCAAAACATACTTTATGAAATAAGTTATGTATGGTCATTTGTCAACAAGAACTAACATCCTGTAATCAAATAACTAGACAAAGAAATATGCAATAAGCCAAATGACTGAAGAATAAAGAATAATTCAAAATTATGTTAATACTTTTTCCTACTAGATACCATTCACTGCTTACACATAGAATTTCATTGATATGAAGGAAGGAATAATGTGTCTGTAAGAGGAAGCTCTATTAATCCTCTTCCATCAAAGAAAAATAGGTCATTATCTTCAGAAAACTAATAATTTAAAAAACATCTTTTACCTAAATAAATCTTTCCATTAGCATATTTCACTTTTACATATATATAATTATTTCAATCAGAAATACTTGATTACTACATATTTGAGGATATCTGTCCCAAATTGTTAACTATCTAACAAGATAAAAGAATGGAACAGAATAAGGTGAACTGTAAACAGTGAAAATTACAGTTTAGGAATTAGGAGCTACTATCAAATGTTAACCAATTAACAATACAAATATTCTAAATCAAATTATAATGTAATTCAATAGTGCAAAACATTCATTTATCAAAACTATTTTTAAACACAATTAAGGTATTTCCCAAATCTGCTGTGAATAATTGTTACCCAAGTTTCTATAAAATAATGTTTTTCATATTGATTTACATGCTAAGTTGAGAGAGAATGGGATATCATACCTGGACTATATATATGGCCAACATTGAGAGAAAAAAGAACTTAATAAAACATTAATAATGATCTCTAAAGTTCATGCTTCATGTGGAAACAATATTACTCTGGAACTTGGAACTATATCAATAAAAGAGGCAAGAATGCCCTGAATGTTATTTGGCCTCTTAAATTTATGTCTAATTTAAATTCATGTCTTCTGCCTATCCTGATTTAAGGAGATTCCTCTATTTTGTATCTCATCTTATACACACTGAATCATAAAGGACTATGAGTAGCAAAGTCCTACTTAAGGATCTTTTAAATTTTGTGTGTGTGTGTTTTTTTTTTTAAATCAAACATTTTTCCATTGAGTAACATTCATTTATAGTATTTTCAAAGACTGTTGTAATTTTGCCCAAAAGGTATTCATTTCAAACTCTCATTGGTATCAAATGTAAAGGGCAAAAAATAACAAATCTACTTCACATTTATGACTATTCTCTATATAGTATGGTTTCATATACTATAGGTGCTTCTAATAACATGTAACTATTTAAGGTATAAAAGACTAGAATTATTTTTCAAAATTTTTTCATGGCAGCTCAAAACTTTCCTAGGACAATGTAAGAAAATCCAGAATTGGGAAATCTCAACTTTATTGGGTTTTACTTCCATATCTACTACTTAAATGCCGTATGTGTATCTGGGGAAAATAGCTATGCCTGTTTCCTCAGCTGTAAAACATGGGTAATAATGCCATCCTACAAGATTCATTTAAGGATTAAATAATAGATAAGACATAACAGTGCTTTGAGAATTTAAAGTGTAAAAAATTTCTATTTGACACTTTTTCAGATGCTCTTACTATAATTTTTTTTTTCAAATACTGAGAATTAACCTGATAAAAATGCAGCTACTCAATATAGACAGGGGGATGCTCCTAACAAGAAATAATAAATTCATACTCTGTATGTGGTCTAACAGAAGAGACACTTGCTGAACTGGTACTGGGCTCTTCAGCGATTCCACCACCATCCAAAAACATTGTGACGGCCATCTCCAGATTATTGTTGCAGGCTTCAAGCATATGTTTCCCTACACTTTCACTTGCACCTGAAATAAAAGAAGAAAGAGAAAAAAAAAAGACACCTTTTTATATTCAGTTCTTAGAATACAGAATTCCCAAAACAGTGCATTTTCCCTTTAAAAATGAATGACTTAGCCCAGTTGGTGTGGTTCAGTGGTTGAACCCATGAATCAAAAGTTCCCTAGTTTGATTCTTAGTCAGGGCACATGCTCAGTGTAGGCTTGATCCCCATAAGGTGTGTGCAGGAGGCAGTCAATCGATGTCTCTCTTTCATAGATGTTTTTATCTCCCTATCTCTCTCTAAAAGTCAATGAAAACATATTTAAAAAATACACGAATGTCTTGAAAAAACCCTGTTTAAACTTCACACTGTTGGCACATTCTCCCTCTCAGGAGCATGCCTGTGCCTTTTCCTTCCCTCTCTTCTTTCCCACAGGTGTGCATTTCCCAAACTCTAAGGGTCGCCACAGGACTTGCAACCAGGGAAGCAAATGGGCTGCGGCAGTTCAACGTGGGCTAACTCCCTGAACGTGTATCCAAGGCCCTTTTCTCTAACTTTCCAGTGAGCCAAAGCAGCCCCACGTAGGCTCTCTCCTCTTGTTCATTCTATCTTAAGCCCTTCCCTGTTTCACTGTCCCCAGCTTTAATAAACATAATCTCAAAATAATAATTGTAAAATAAAATAAATAAACTTCTACATTGTTGCTATAGTGTGGCATATACAGAGCTAGAAAAGAAAGCAGCTCTACCCAGTTTGGCTCAGTGGTTAGAGTGCTGTCCCATGGACTGTAGGTCTTGGCTTTGATTCCTGGTCAAGGGCACGTACCTCAGTTGCCGGCCCTGATTGAAGCACATATTGGAGGCAACCAGGCAATGTGTCTCTCTCACATAGATGTTTCTCTCTATGTCTCCTCCTCCTTTCTACTCTAAAAAATCAATATAAACAAATATGCTTGTGTACGGATTAACAAAAAAAGAAAAGTAGCAGCATTAAAAGTTTTCCTTCATAATAAAATAAAAACTAAAGTATTTACCTGACATTTCTTTAAATGGACTAACTATATATTTGTTAATAAACTGAAAAAGATAAAGAAAAATTAAAGACTACATTCTAGAAAATTGGAAAATTAAAAATACATTTCAGTTAGTTGTGGGGTTTTTTTAGTTGTTTTTTTAATTCTCTCCTGAGGATAAGTTTTTATTGATGTTAGAAGAAGGGATAGAGAAACATCAATCAGTTGCTTCCCATATGCCACTTTGACCAGAGATCAAACCCACAACCTGGGTTTATGCCCTAACCAGGAATTGAACACACAAGCTTTTGGTATAAGTCGCTCTAGCCAACAGTATTTCACTTCTATTAAGAAGGAAGCATTTTTCATAACAGTGGGAGAGTAGTAAGATAGAACATTTTTGTCAAAGATATAACTAAGTCAAAACCTGGTAAGAAATGTTAATCTTCATCATTTAAAACTGGCCCTATCACACGCAATTGTAAAGCCAGCATAGTCTTCCAGGTGCAATATAAATTAGAAAAATAATGTTACATGTATCAAGAAACATAAAAATACTCATTCCTTTTTTGACCCAGTAATTTGAGCTTCTAGTAAAAAGATGTATTCTCTATTATTTACTCTACATAATGCATGCATAAACATATCCCGTATAACTTCAGTTAATATGAAAAAAATGGAAACAACATAAACATCCAATAGTAGAATCTGACTTATAGAATCTATTTGATAAAACATATTGTAGTCATTAAAAAGCATCAGAGGGCTCGGTCAGTGCGGCTCAGTGGTTGAGCATTGACCTATGAACCAGGAGGTCAAGGTCCAATTCCAGATTGGGGCATGTGCCTGGTTGCGGGCTCAATTCCCAGTGTGGAATACGCAGGAGGCAGCCAATCAATGATTCTCTCTCATTGAAGTTTTTCTCTCTCTCTCCTCCCTTTCTCTCTGAAATAAAAATATATTTAAAAGAAAGAAAAAAAAAGCTTCTCAGGCTTTCCATTGGGATGACTTTCCTTCTACCTGAATGCTGTCCCTTAAATTTCCTTCAGTGAGGTCTACTGGTTGTGTGTGTGTGTGTGTGGGGGGGGGGGGGGGGGGAGGGGAGAAGGTCTGAAAATGTCTTCATTTTGCTGTCATTTCTGAAAGACAGTTTTACTGAATACACGTTCTATTTTCTTAAGGCTGGCAGCTATTTTCTCTCAGTATATTGAAGAGAGCATTCCAATGTCCTCTGGCTTCTGTTGTTGCTTCTGGGAAATCAGTTGCTAGAGAAAAACATTTGTATAGCAATCTGTTTTTCTCTCCAGTTGCTTTTAAGATCTGTCTTTGGTCTTCTGCATTTCACTCCAATTTGTCAAGGTTTATTTCATTTCTCCTCCTTGGGATTCACTGGACTTTCATGATATATAAGAAGTATTATCTTTTATCAATTTTGAAAAATTCTCAGCCACTTTTATTTAATAACTAGCTGCCCAGTGCATGAAATTCATGAACTTGCAGGGGTGGGGGGAACGGGGAGGATCCATCAGCCTGACCTGTGCCCTCTGGCAGTCCGGGAGTTCTCGGGGGATGTCCAACTGACGGCTTAGGCCCTAAGACAACAATCAAACATCCTTAGCACTGCCACAGAGGCGTGAGAGGCTCCTGCCACCGCCACTGCACTCGACAGCTGTGAGCCCAGCTTCTGGCTGAGTGGAGCTCCCTGTGGGAGTGCACTGACCAAGGGGCAGCTGCTGTGTTAAGTGTCTGCCCCCTGGTGGTGAGTGTGCATCATAGCAATTGGTCATTCTGCCTCTGGGCTGAAACTGGCTCTCCAATATCCCCCAAGGGATCCCAGATTGCGCGAGGGTGCAGGCCAAGCTGAGGGACCCCACAGGTGCACAATCAAGGCCAGGGAGGGACGAAGGAGATTGGCCATCTGGGAAGGGATTACAGGAGGGATTATAGGAGAGTTTCAGGGCGTGTCCATTCCATTTTACTCAGTCCAGATCAGCCAGACTTCAGCAGTAAGCTAACCTACTGGTCAGAGCATCTACACCCAGTGCATGTCATAGCAACTGGTTGACTGGTCAACTGTCTGCCCCTTGGTGGTCAGTGCACATCATAACAAGTGATTGAGTGACCTTAGCATATCATTAGCATATTACACCTGACATTTAGCATATTAGGCGTTTATTATATAGAATTACCTTATTTCTTTCTGCAACTCCAATTAAATATATGTTACAACTCTTTTTTGTGTTTTTTGTTGTTTCGTTTTTTCAGAGAAGAAGGGAGAGGGAGAAAGAGAGAGAGAGAGAAACATCAGTGATGAGAGAGAATCATTGACTGGCTGCCTCCTGCACACCCCACATGGGGAACTGAGCCCACAATTGGGAATCAAACTGTAACTTCCCAGTTCATAGGTGGACACTCAACCACTGAGCCATGCCAGCCGAGCAAATATATGTTACAACTCTTCACTCTAGGCTGTGCTAATCGGTTTTGTGTTTTGTTTTTTTATCTGTTCATTGAACTTTTAATTTCAGTTAATTTTTTATAATTAGAAGTTCTGTGTTTTTTGTTTTTTAATTTCTTCCTAATCTGCTTGGTTGTGTCTCAGAGAGCCTTCATCCTCATGTGTCAATATTATTTAAACTTACTGGAATTACTAAGACAAAATATAAACTTTCTGCAGTCTCTAGAGGTCACTGGTCTTATTTCTGCTGGCTTTTACTTCTTGTCCCAAGGTCTTTGTACATTTTTTTTTTTTTCCTTTTTTCTGAGATCTCATGTGCTTTGGAATTTTAACTTGTAAATTTCTGAAGCCTGGGTTGATGGTTCCATTCCTCCTAAGAGAATATGATTTGATAGATTTTGTAAGGCACCTGTGGGCACTTCAAATACATTCTTAACTTGAAATTTTATAAGCCAACATGGGAAATGTGACCCTGTATGGACCATTGTTATAAATTCTCAGTGAAGCTATTTCCTGCCAGTCTCCAACTACCCAGATTGAAACAATCAAATCTCAACTACATAAAGGAGCAGTGGTCTTCTCTCAGACTCCTCTCCTTAGGAAAGCCACAAGCTGTTTCCTGTTTCTTATGCCCTAACACACTATCAAAAAAGTCAATGCCAGTTTGGGCAGATTCCATCAGGATGAAGGCTTGCTTTAAATCTAGCTAACAACTGCATTCCCATTTACATATTTTAGTCTCTGTGCATTCTTTACTTTCTTGCCAGATCAATGATACATTCTGTAATAAATTTTTTAAAAATATATTTATTGATTTTACACAGAGAGGAATTGAGAGGGACAGAGAGTTAGAATGTCAATGAGATAGAAACATCGACCAGCTGCCTCCTGCATATCCCCCACCGGGGATGTGCCCTCTACCAGAATCAAACCCGGGACCTTTCAGTCCGCAGGCTGACGCTCTATCCACTGAGCCAAACCTGACCCGGCGGTTGTAAAATTTTTTTAAATACACGTTTTCCCCCCCAGGATTTTTTTCTCAACAAGAATTATCCACGCTATCTCTCTAGTTTAGCCCTACTGCCAGAAGGAGAAATGCTAGTTTTACTCTTAATATAACTCTCATATGCTTTCTTCACTACTATGTCTTTCTTTTTCTTTTTTTAATATCTCTAAGGCTTTAAAGCAACCCCTTAACATTTCTTAACCACATTAAGCTTCTAACTAATCATCATTCTATCTTCCACCTGGCTGCTGAGGTTGTGTTCCAAAATACAAGTCTGTTTGTATCATATCCCAATTTAAATTCTTTAATGATTTTATGACATCTACAAAGTCCTTATGATCTGGAAAACCTTTGTGATCAGGTCTCAGCTATCTTTGCCTCTCCTCTTCCAAATCCTATACAATTCAGTATACTAAAATACATGCTTGGAATATCCTTATTCTCCTCATACCCCCTCTCTCCTACTTCATCTGGTTCATGTATGCTCAACAATCTCTCTAAGTGTTACTGTGTCAATTTGGGTGCTAAGCATTCTCTACACTACCTTCT